AAAAAAAGTCATAGTATAGCATGTGGTCCAAAATCATGAAAAAAAGTCATAGTATAGCATGTGGTCCAAAATCATGAAAAAAAGTCATAGTATAGCATGTGGTCCAAAATCATGAAAAAAAGTCATAGTATAGCATGTGGTCCAAAGTCATGAAAAAAAGTCATAGTATAGCATGTCGTCCAAAATCATGAAAAAACGTCATAGTTGTCCAAAAAAAACGGCATGTTGTCCAAAATCATGGATTTGTTCGGGTTTGGACATGATCAGAGCAATGAAGCACATACATTTTTTTAAATGATGAAAACTGATGAAATGATGAAACTCGTCACACAGATGATTTTATAGTTTATTGATCAGAAGCCAATCACTGACACAGATTCAGTTTTTCAGTCAGTCATATACTGTGCTATTTCCTTTCATCTATAATCAATAAATCAAGCTCAACATTTTTATCTCCTACACAATATTTCAAACAATTAGAAAATACTAATCCTGATCAATAATATCCAGTTCACAATAAGCAGCCAATCAATTAAAACATTTATAGAGCTGATGTGAGAATATTCTCCTGCTGTTAAACATCATTACATCACTGAGGACATTCTTTAGTTCTAGACATTTATTGATCATATCAGAAGTGATCAGAAAAACTGAACATTTGAAACAAACCAATACTATCTCTAAAACAGATGTTCATTTTAAAAAACTATGAAAGCTCATTAGGTCCAAGATTTTAATTGATTAAAGAGTAAAACATTTGTGTCAAATACAGTTTTTCATGGAAATATTTAATTATTCATTTCGTTATTTTAAATTAAATTCATAATCTCATCTTTTTATCAAATTTAGTGAAATCATGTTGTATTGGGTTCTTTTTTTTTTGACAAATTGAAATTTATGTAAGCGTTCTGTCGTCATGTTACGCACCAGGTATTTTCCTTCTTCTGCTGTCGCTGTTCTGGGACGCAGTTACTAATGCCAGGACGTCAACACAAGCACGTGGTAAGGTTTTTAAAAAATAAAGAAATCATCGTTTGGCTTTTCAGTCGTCAGGGAAGTGACCAGCTCGGCTCACGGCTGAAAGTCTGAGGTTTGTTGGACCCATCCACCACCGCTCCGCCCGCCGCTCCGCCCACTGTTCCACGGCTCCATACTGAGACTGTCCAGCTCCTTTTATTATGTCATAATCAGCAGTGTTTAAAACTGGCCGACCGTACGCTTCACACTGCTGCGAAGACTGACATCAAACAAACAGTAAACTTTACTTGTAGAAAACAAAATAAAGCAAAATAACATAAAACAAAAAAACCCTCAATTAGCTGTTTTGTAAAAACAAAAAAACAACAACAAAAAAACCAAACAAAAAACAATAAACTTTTCTTGAAATAAAAACAAAACAAACAAAAACATTTTTGTAAAAAATAAAACAAAACAAAAAATAATAACCTTTTCTTGTCATAACGATAAACGTATTTATCTTTCCTTAACGTGAAATGTTTGACATAATATCATGATCACATCTTGATAACGTGAAATCTTATTTTGTTAAATTATTGTTCAACTGCTGTTAAAATGAAATCATGTTGGTGAACGGTTGAATTTTATCTCGTCTACAAGACATGAAGTTTTTTAACGTCATGTTCTATATGTTGAGATGTCGCCTGACTGACGATGGGTGGTGTTACAGCCGAGGGAGTCCTGTCACCTGGTTGATGATGCAGGACCACATCAGTGAATGCTCCAGGTGCACCTGAGGTCGGCAGGCTGTCTCATGTCCTAACTTCCTGTCACTGAACGACCACAGACTCACAGATACACCCTCTGTCTGTAAGAGTCACGGGGCTACAATCGTTTCAGAAGTTTGGATCTTTTACACCGCCACCAGAAGTAGCTTCTGGAGTCCATGTCTGACTGTGACATCACTGACGAAGCGGCGGCTGTAACACCACCCACCGTCAGTCACTGTGATTAAGTCAGACATTTATGATATGATAAATACGTAGAGTGTCATAACAAGAAAATGCTTTTTTGTTATTTTTTAAATATAAAAGTTTCTTGTTTTTGGTTATTTTGTTTTTACAAGGAAAAAAATCTTGTTTTTGTATGTTTTGTTTTTTTTAAAGAAAAGTTTCTTATTTTTGGGGTTTTTTACAAGAAAAAATATTTTTTGTTTGTTTTGTTTTGTACAAGAAAATTTATTGGGGGTTTTTATTTGTTAGTTTTGTTTTTTTACAAGTGTTTTTTATAAGTTTGTTTGTTTTTACAAGAAAAGTTTCTTGTTTTTGTGTTTTTTACAAGAAAAAATGTTTTTTGTTTGTTTTGTTTTTTTATATGAAAAGTTGGATATAATGTGGAAATATCCAGCTCTTTCTTAAGTCGGCAAATACTGATGCTTCGTGAGTGGTTTTGTCATCAGACCTTTAGTGGCGGTATGATTCACAGCCGGGAGGCGTCATTATGTACAGCAGCCAGACGGAAACTTTCTCTGAATGTCAGCGTTCGCAGCAGTGTGACACGCGTACGGGTGACCAGTGTGAAACGCTGCTGGTTATGACGTAATGTAAAAAGTTGAAATATCATGTTTTTACATTAGAATATATTTGACGTGAAAAACATCTCGTTATTTTAAATATTTTTCATGTCATTATCTGATACTGATCTTTTTGTTTGTTTTTCTTTGCGTGGCATTTTTACGCCTCCGTACTGTATTTGCTCTCTTTTTGTTGTTTAAATATTTTTTCTTCACGTCGCAGAGGACAACTGATCTTTTCACTGTAAACTCTACGATTGTTTATGAACCAAAAAAATCGATGAACTTTTTAAAAATGTTCTTTTAAATACTCAGTTTATTTATTTTGTTAATTGTTATAATTATTTTAATGAACGTTTTTATCCCGCAGGACGTCAAGAGCGACAAAATTCTGCACATATTTAATTTAATATAGGAGAGTTAACATTTTGTAATTTTCTGTATTTCAACATTTTTCTTTATTTTATTTATGTGACAATATTACTTTAATAATAATAACTGAATAACTAATACTAGATCCAATCTTTTTCTCTTTGATAATGAAAAACATAAAATATGAAAACAAGGAACATAAATGTTGCATTAACACGTCTTTGTTTCAGTTTTAGGTTGAATTTCAGCATGAAGTATCTTTAACATTGTCTCATTAGTTTGAATTTATAGTGAATGCTGAACATTTTTCTCTTTGACACACAAAGAAGAGTTTCGTTAAATCCAACAATTCAGCAGAAAAAAAAGAAAAAAAAACTTCCAGGAAGAAAATAAATGAAGAACAATGACGTGATTTCTTCCAGCTGGTTTCAGGTTCAGAACATGTTGCTGGATTTCCACTGGGCTCCGTTACTGGTTTCTGTCAATAATTCCAACAGGAAAAACCATGTAAATTAATTGGTGCATTCAGGATTTCAAATATTTGATGTTTGACCACAAAATAAACCTGTCAAAATAAAAACTGAATAATTCATTAATGATGAATCTGCGATATAAAACATATTGAAGTGTTTCTTACTGGAGAAATCCTGGGGTGCTTTTTTCCTCTGATGAGATCCAGAAACCTGTTTTATTTAACAGAAATATCATCAAATAACTTCATCTATTCATTAATATATTTTTTTTACATTAAGTGTATTCATTTATATAAATATCATCAAATTATTTATTTTTTCAAATTTGAATAATTTTATATATAATTCATGAAATGTATTAATTTTTTATAAATATCATAATTTTAAATATTTGTAATAGAATTTATCTTTTCATATAGTTCATTATATAATTTCATATATTGTATATAATTCATACATTTTTAAAATATAATTATTACATTTATTCATTTTAGAAATATCTTTTAGACTTTTAGACTAGGCTTTTATAAGATTTTTATAGTTTTATCTGATTTTTATATAATTTATCAAATGTATTCATCCATATGAATATCATTATTTCATAGATTTCTATAAAATGTATATAATGTTTTACATATTTATTAACTTCATTCATATGAATATCATAATTCTAAATAATTTTATATAGTTCATGTAATTTTTAAAATATAATTTATTAAATACACTGAACAAAAATATAAACGCAACACTTTTGTTTTTGCTCCCATTTTTCATGAGCTGAACTCAAAGATCTAAAACATTTTCTATACACACAAAAGACCATTTCTCACAAATATTGTTCACAAATCTGTCTAAATCTGTGTTAGTGAGCACTTCTCCTTTGCCGAGATAATCCATCCCACCTCACAGGTGTGGCATATCAAGATGCTGATTAGACAGCATGATTATTGCACAGGTGTGCCTTAGGCTGGCCACAATAAAAGTTTTTTCTTTTAAATATGATATAGATTTCTAACCATAGATTATTAGCTACCTAAAATATATATATTTCTTCCAGTTTTTAGTAATTATGAGGGGGGAAAAAACCTTCTTGTAGTTAAAACATGAATTTAAGCCATTTAAATAAATATTTCATATGCTCATGAAAAACATCATCAAATATCATTTTGATATTTCACCTCATATTTTAATAAAGTTGTATTTTCATATATAAAAGATAATTTTTGTCTTGTTCGTAAATAGTCTCTTTTTTACAACACGATGAATGTTCTTTAACTTTATAATAATATAATAATTTATTTCATGTAAGAAATAAACAAACCTTCTTCTTTGATCCTGCAGCGTTCAGAGCAGCAATCTTACTCTCGATATCCGACACCTGCAGAGGACACATCAGATCAGGACACTGTGGTCATCACTGAAACTTTGTCATCGTTGTTGTTTCACAAACAAACAAACAATAAACATCTTTAAGTACAAAGTTTATTCAAATACTCAGAGCTTTCTGTAACTTCAGGAAATGTATCTGGTGAGAAATATTCACTTCCTTCAGAGACTCAGATCTTTTATTTAACGAGTCCTCTGATTGTAAAACGTTTGTTAACTCACATAATTCTAACATAAGTTTTCTCATAGTTACGAGACACTTGTCCTGTTTAAAGATAACAATGTGAATATATAGGAAGAAAAATGTTATAAATAAATATTAAATACACTGATGAAGAGTTTCCTCCTGATTCGTCTACTCGGGATTGTGAGACGGTTTCCACACACAGGAAATGATGATGTGATAAAGAAGACGTGTTTTGATTAAAGAAAGATTTCTAACTTTGGAAGAAGTTTCCTTGTAATTTTATTATTGGTCGAAAAAACAAGATCATTTTTCGTATGTTAATCATTTGTGACGTTTTTAATAAACGTTCAGATTCAAAGATTCATCAGAGCGAGTCTGTACCTGATTGTTTCTGTTAATACACTGACTTGTTATTTCGCACCCTCATACTCTGTACGTTTTCTTTTTTTTTTCATACTGTGTTTCTGACATGTATTCTATATTATTTGGTCACATTTTTGTACTGTTTTTTTTTTTAATACTGTGGTTCTTTTTATTTTTATATCTTTTGGCGTTTCTCTACTGTGTTTTTGTTTATGTTATATTTCTATGTTTTTAATTTTTTAAAACATTTTTGTAATTTTTTGCATTTTCTTCTTTTTTGCAGTTTTGTATTTTCTCTGCCTGTTTCTACTGTATTTATTTTGTATTTTTTTTTTTTCTACTTTTTTTGTTTTGCATTTTTTAAAAACAAATGTTTGCGTTTCATTTAATGTGTTGTTTGTCTTGCTTTTTTTTTTTGCGTTTTCCACTGTATGGCGCACAGTGAGCGTCATGTAGTGGTGGCTCTGTGGCTCTGTGGCTCAGAGGTAGAGCGGGTTGTCCACTAATCAGAAGATTAGCAGTTTGATTCCCGGCTACTCCGGTCTGCATGTCGAAGTGTCCTGCTCCCGATGGCTGATCAGCTGATCATCAGTGTGTGCGAGAGTTAAAAACTTAGCAGCAGGTGGCACCTTGTGTATGGTAGCCTCGGCCACCAGTGTATGAATGTGTGTGTGAATGGGTGAATGTGGTCGGATGACTAGAAAGGAGCTATACAAATGCAGGTCCATTAACCATTACTGTGTGGGGTTAATAACCACTACATGACGTTCACAGTGCGATTTTGTTAAACTCGTTTAGAAGCGTAAGTTAATGTTATCAGGTGGACTGATGATGATGATGATGATGATGATGATGATTCATGCCGTCCATGTTGTACGAATCTAATTCACAAACAAACCAAGGTGTTTGTGTTTCGTACAGCGGTTCGGTCTCACCTCGCTCTCGGCGCTCTGGACTCGTGCGGCGGTCAGCGCCACCACGTCCTCCAGCTCCGACAGCTCCGAGTCTGTCGTCCCCCCGAAGCGAGTCTTGGCGCTCTGCTCGAGTCGCCTCAACTTCGTCTCCAGCTCATACGACTGACCGGCCGCCATGTACACCTGAACAGGTTACACACACACACACACACACACACACAGCAGTGTCATGGTGAGGGCACTAACACACCTCCATACCAACACACGCAGCTGTGTCATGGTGAGGGCACTAACACACCTCCATACCAACACACGCAGCTGTGTCATGGTGAGGGCACTAACACACCTCCATACCAACACACACAGCTGTGTCATGGAGAGGGCACTAACACACCTCCATACCAACACACGCAGCTGTGTCATGGTGAGGGCACTAACACACCTCCACACCAACACACACAGCTGTGTCATGGAGAGGGCACTAACACACCTCCACACCAACACACACAGCTGTGTCATGGTGAGGGCACTAACACACCTCCACACCAACACACACAGCTGTGTCATGGAGAGGGCACTAACACACCTCCATACCAACACACGCAGCTGTGTCATGGTGAGGGCACTAACACACCTCCACACCAACACACACAGCTGTGTCATGGAGAGGGCACTAACACACCTCCACACCAACACACACAGCTGTGTCATGGTGAGGGCACTAACACACCTCCATACCAACACACACAGCTGTGTCATGGAGAGGGCACTAACACACCTCCACACCAACACACACAGCTGTGTCATGGAGAGGGCACTAACACACCTCCATACCTGTGCTGATATCAGGAGCAGGGCCAGGTATGACGGTGGAACACGCAGGCTGGTTCTCTGATGGTGTGTTCGATTCACAATATTGTTTCTTCTCCTTCACTAAAATAAGATCTTTGAAAACGTACATGTATATACAAACAGTATTTTCTCATATTTACCATAACTTTTTTTTCTATATCATTAAAAGACACCTTGTCCAGAAATGACACAAACATTTCCTTGTTTGTTTTTTGTGTTGTTTGCTTTCTTATGGTTATCAGAAATTTATGAGAAAATAAATCTCAGTTCAGAATTAGAATTTTTCCATATTTTTTTGATACTTTTCCCATATTGATAGTTTTATTTATTCATCCATTTATTTATTTGTCCATTTAATCATTTTGGGTTTTTTGTATGTTTGTTTTTTAGTAATTACGAGAGTTTTCTTATAATTTTGGGAACATTTTCAAATGTTATGTAAAGTTTTTCTATAAGTTGAAAATAGAACATTTGAATTTTTATACAAAAAATCTAAAACAAATCTGAATTTTCAAGTGAATTTTAAATTTTAAACTTGTGTTGGAGCCAAACTGGAACCAGTGCTGCCCAGGACGTCCCACAGATACCCGGCCCTGTGTGGACAGACTGGAGACACAGCAGCCGGGGACATTTAAAGCCAGTCCAGACATTTGCATCATGCTTGACATGAGGCGTGGGGGGCTGGGCTTAGTTTGACATCAAGACAAAGAGAGGTTAGGGGACGAGGAGGAGGAGGAGGCGTGCAGTCGACGTATGAATCTTACATTTTCCTCAAGTTCCCTGAACGCATCATCTGCTTGCTTAACGTCAGTCCCTACTAAGTGGGCTCTGTCAACCGGCTCTGACAGGCCGTACTCGACCATCGCGTTTTCTGTGGCGTTAATGGTTCTGAGGACCTCAGTGGTGAGGTCACAGAGGGCGGCGGCCGTCGATCTCTGAAATCCATGTAGAGGGACAGATGTTAGCAGCTGGAAAACAACACCTGTTCCTGCAGCAGCCACCAGCCCGGAGACGACCATGACAACCGACCTGGAGACGACCATGATGAC